AACCCCAACACGTATTTGTGTTTTAGTGGTTCTCTCAACTCTTTTGAAAATGAGAAAGTGCTGTTAGATGGAGACAGAGGTGAGAAAGGGTGTCCTGGCAGCGTGAGAACTGAAGGCCATCCTGCAGTCTCGGTCTGGCTGCTCTGGGCTCCCCCTCCCTGTCCCCAAGGGGATAGAGAAGTCCTGCTCCTCACTTCAGCAAGAAGATCTTCCTTCCCACACCCTAACCCAAAAAAGTGTTTCCCAAATGCTGCCTCACTGAATGGAGTCACGAGACAAAGCTCTGTCCTGCTCGGATCAGAGATTGTGGCGTTGTCTGCAACTCCCTTCACTCTATCTCAGCCAGCAGATCCTCTAGTGATGCATTACCCAGAGAAGATCTGGAGGAGAGCAATTTATTTCAATCTTTTATTTATCCTCATTGTGTGCAGAAGAATGATTTTGCCTGCAAAATAGAGGAGGGCAAAGGGAAAGGAGGAATACTGCCTGCCATGAAAATATGGAGCCTATCAAAGGATCCAGGCTCATCTGGATCAGTGTCTCCTGTTCAGGAGGGGAAAGACTCCATGGCTGGAACAAGATGAGCTTTAAAGTCCCTTCCAGCTCCTTGTGAAATTCTATGATTCAACAAACCTAAACTGAAAATTCACTGCAATGAGCAGGGACAATTTCTACTGTCCCAGGTTCCTCCAAGCCACGCCCAACCTGGCCATGAACGCTTCCAGCTATGGGGCAGCCACAGCTTCTCTGGGCAACCTGTGCCAGGGCCTTGCCACCATGACAAGGAAGAATTTCTTCCTAATGTCCGGTCTAACCCTGCCCTCTGTCAGTTTGGAGCCATTCTCACTTGTTCTGTCATCTCACGTCCTTGTTCAAAGGCACTGAGGTCAATTAAAGCCTTTTAAGTATCTTTGTTTCTGAATGCCTCTGTGGTGGGTGAGCTTGGCCAAGGATCACTCTAAGCAGCAGATGGTTTAGATGAGTTTGATTTAAGGTGCTGCTGAAAATGTTTCCAGTGGCACCAGCTAAACACCCTCATGTGTGGCCTGTCGGATATATCGGCTGATAGCTGTGCACAACACTGCTCTTTCAACAGCTTCAAAATACCCCATTTTCCACCACCATTTCGATATTGACTTCTGAAAACCGCCTCTGCTAACGGAGCAGAGCGTTTGGTGCCAGCTCTGACAAATCTTCTTGTTTATAATACACAGAAATTCAGCATTTTTTTAACAATTGGCCAAGATTGTGCCCTGCAGAGCCATGGGCTGGACATGCCAGGTCTTGAAGGTCTGGAGAGCTGTGACACTGCTCATCCAGACCTGGGTCTGGGAGGTGGCCTTTAGGCACAGCCCACTCCTGCAATGAATTGCCAAGTTCTCAGATGAGTACTGGGGCCAGCACACAGGTTTCAGCCCACAAGATCTGTATCTTTCTGTACAAATAGGAATCATCAGGTAACAAGCTTAAAAGAAAATTGAATTTGTCTTCTGACCCATTGTTCCCCTGGCTCCCTTCCAGCCCCTAGAAACCCACAAGAGGGGCAGCCCCCAGCACTGGAGCTCTGTGTGCCATTACCTCAGACAAGGAGAGATTTCATCTATTTCAGAGAAAACCGAGCCCATCTGCTGCAGAAAGAGAAAACACAACCCAAAAGTCCTCATCTCAGGTGTTCCCGCCTTGCAACGACTGTGGTTGCTCTTTGATGGTCAAGCAGACATTGTTCTCCTTTTTTCTGTTGGCTTTTTTGTTCTGTTGGCTTTTTTTTTTTTTTTTTAACCGCTCAGGATCTATTCTTAGTGACGAAGGGATGGTGCTCAAGAGGCTCTGCCATGGGTCACGTCAGCGTGGGTTTGGGTCAATCTGGATGCCAGGCACGAAGTGAAATACAGCTGGGCCTGGTGGTCCTGCCATGGGCAGTGGGACCCCGAAGATGGTGGGGGGCTCCAGGTGCTGCTGAGAGCAGGAGTCTCACACAGGGGGTTTGAGATTCTATTGATGGCAGGAGGATGAAGGCACTGCCAGAAGTGGGGCTCCTGTCATGGGAGGTGGAACCCCAGTAATAGCAGGGAGCTGCAGCTGAGCCCACAGGCACCTTGTGATAACGATAAATCAAATACTCTTTTTTTTTTTTTTTTTTTTTTTTGTCTGATTTAATGAGACACCTGTAAGTGTGGTTTGCAATGAGAAAAAAAGGGTTTTTTTCTTTTTCAGCCCTTTTCTCCAGTGTCTCCATGTCATGGAGGAAGCATCAGGGAGTGTCGCCATGTGCCACACGCTCCTGGCTGGGCTGTCCAACAGCAGGTGGGAGCTGGAGCAGAGCCTGTCCTAGTCAGGGTCTGCACAGCGTTGGGCTCAGCCATGCTCAAAACCCACCACTTTTGTCCTTTCTTCAGCTCAAAAACATGGCGTGACCCTGGCGGGATGGTTTGGACTGCTGAAGAGACCTGCTGCATCCCCCACTCTGCTGCAATGAAGCCTCGTGGCTGGGACTGCTCAGAAAGCCTTAGAGAGATATTTTGGCAAGAAAAGAGTGGTTTTTGTTGTGTTCCACCACCCCAGCCCGTGGCCAGCATGGCCTCAGAGGCTGCGGCTGGGGGGGCAGTGAGGCACAGGCAGAGGGGAGGGAGGGAGGGAGCCGCCTGCCGCCCACGCAGTGTTTCCGACGTGGCATTTGCTACCAGCAGTTTGTCACACACAAAACAAATTCTGTCTCGTAGCCCTGAGACTAAATTCGGTCTGATAGCGCTGGTCATGGCGGTGTGAGGGAGAGGAGCGTGGCGGGAGGACAGGGAGCGCGAGGGAGCCAAGATGGCGCCGTGGCGTGAGGGCAATGGCGGCAGCGGGGGCGGGCGCCACCAGAAACGGCGTGCGAGGATGAATCAGCCATGGTTGCCCCAAGCAGGTGCAGCATGAGAGGAGAGAGGATGGCTCCATATAGTCCAGTGGTAGGAGCAGCCCCCAGGGTGGGAAGGGAGGTGATGGCTCCATGTTTGCCAGTGGCAGAAGCAGTTGCCCGGTGGGAGCTGCTGGCATGGGCACAGGGCTGGTTTGCTGAAGCAAAATAATCACAGAAGCATTGAACGTGCTGAATTGATCCATAGAATATGCTGAAGGGACCCATCAGGATCATTGGGTCTAACTCCTGGCCATGCACAGGACACAAAATCCCACCATGTGCCCAAGAGCCTTATCCAAACCCTTCTCGAATTCAGACAGACTGGGTTGTCCAGATCTGAGTAAAAATGCGGCTCTACTGGGGAAAGTGTATATCTGAGGCAAAAGAGGGATCTGCTAAGGAAAAATGGTGACTCCACCACCGCCCTGGGCTGCCTGTTCCAATGTCTGGGCATCCTTTCAGTGAAGAAATTTTCGCTAATATGTATTCTAAACCTCTCCTGGCACAATTGTTTCCTCTTGTCCTGTTGTATGTTACCTGAAGGCAGACACCAGCAATGCTGGGGGAGAGGAGGTGCTTTGCCCCCCAGAGTAAGTGACATGCAGCTATCTCATCCCTGGAAGCATTCAAGGCCAGGTTGAATGGGGCTGGGAGCAACCTGGTCTAGTGAAGGTGTCCCTGTCCATATCATGGACCTGGTGACCCGCTGCTGCTGACCTGCTGCTCCAGCCTACACCCCCCGTGCCTGCCTGTCCTGCCGTGTTTGTGCTCATGAGCTTTCCTTCCACCCACACAGGGAACTATTTTTAGCAGACACTAATCAAGCATCAGTGTTGGCTCTGAGTGTGGCTTTCAGTGGAGGGCTCCTTCTTTCACCAAGTGCTGGCAGGAACTCGGGTGTGTTTTCTTTTAAATCTGGTTGAGAATTTGCACAATGTGCTGCAGAGCACTGGTGGTTATTTTGGGCTCATCACACCCAAGCCCACACTGAGTGATCACCAGGTGATTCTCCATTCTGGTGAGGGCTTGGCAGAGCATCCCCCTCCCAATCCCACACTGCCAGCAGCACCTGCTTGCCTTGCCTGATCCCTCAGGAGCCGGCTCCAGGCCAGGGATACCCAGACAAGAGGCAGCTTTGCTCCTCTTGCAATGTTTATCTCCTGCACAAAGGTGTTGGGTTGGTACTTGGAATCCTGCAGGAAAGGAAAATGTTCCATATTCAGCCCTGGAGGTCACAGTCTTCTCTGGCTGAATCCCCCTCATGGGGGGCCAGCTCCCCTTCCACTGAGGTCACCCTGCTCTGTGACAGGTTTGCTGTGCCCTGGGTCAGATACAGGACCTGCTCCTCACCACGCCTTGAGCAGCTCTGATTCAGTAAGAGCTGCGGTTGGGGCCAGCTCTGTTTCACTTTGGCTGCTGAACTCACAACAGGCACTTGGTGCTTCTTCATGATCCAAGCTGAACCTCATAGAATCACCTGAGTTATAAGAGACCCACAAAGATCATCGAGTCCAACTCCTGGCCCTGCACAGGACACCCCAACAATCCCAACATGTGCCTGAGATTGTTGTCCAAATGCTCCTCGAGCTCTGGCAGCCTTGGGACTGTGAACAATGCCCTGGGGAGCTTGTTTTAGTGCCCAGCCACCCTCTGGGGGGGAAGAACCTTTTCCTAATATCCATCCTAAAACATCCCATGACACAGCTCCAGATGTTCCCTCAGGTCGTGTCCCTGGTCATACACAGAGATCAGTGACTGCCCCTCCACCTCCCTCAGGAGGAAGCTGCAGACCCCGACGATTTCTGCCTTCAGTCTCCTCCAGGCTGAACAAACCAAGTGACCTCAGCTGCTCCTCATATGGCTTTCCCTCCAGATCCTTCATCATCCTTGTGTAGCTCCTTTGGATACTCTGTAATAGCTTTGGTTTCCCTTCAGAGAGGAAGAACTGCCTCTACTCTGGCACCAAGTCTTTGTTTGGATTGAAGGTGTGGTATTCTTGACCTCCCACCACTGCTCATGGCATCTCCCCTCCCAGGACTGTAGTCTTGAAGGGTCAAAAATCCTTCTAGGCACCCATGGGAAGTGACAAAGAATGGCTCAGTTCAAGAAAACCAGAGAAAAAAATTTATTATTGTTCTTTATAAAATATCTCCAATAAGTTATATAGGCAAATATTTAAATTAAAATAAATTAACTCCGCTCTGTGCTGGGACACGTGACTGCCCATAAAGTCAAACTAGGATTTACGTTTCTCTGAAAAAATATGCCCTAGATCTCCGATGTAAGATTTGAAAAAAATATCTATGCTTGTTGAGAGGAAGGAGAAATCTGCACTGGACAGAGGGGTTAAGGTGCGGTGCTGAAGCTGCCTGGTGCCAGTGGCACCTCCACATCCAGCTAAGTGCTAAGAGCATCCTCATCGTCACTCCAGTCAGGAGGAGCGTCCGTCCCGAAGTACCGATCACCAAAATTCCCTGTGGGGAGAGAGAGAGCCAGAGTGCAGCACTGTGGGAGCCTTGAGACCCATCCTGCTGCCTGTCCTCATCACAGCAGGCAAGGGGACCCGAGCAGGTTTATCTTACAGCTTGAACAGCAGGAAAACTTGAGTGGCAGCAAAACTAGAGCAGCCTGCAGGCTGGTTTAACACCCGGTGGAAGGTGTTTCCTGGCACAGTAGAGGTGAGGACAGAACACAGCGAGCTTATTTTGGGTGAACTTGTAGAAGGTGGCAGTTTAGGCAAGGAGGTGGGCACAAGGCTGCTCTAGCTGTTCCAGCCTGACTTCTCTGCCTGGGGCTGGAAGAGGCTCAGGGCACGTGGAACGGTTCCTGCTGCTGACAAGGCGATGGCTGCCCTGCAGCCCCAGAACCAGCACGGTGATCCTGACAGCCAGCTGCCAGCAGGACCCAGGAGGGGCACTGGGGCTCTGGGCAATGTAAGGCCAGACCTAACTGCTGCTGACAACCATGTCCTCTCCCTGCCATAAGCACTAGAAATCCTCTCACCATGAGTCCTTCCTAGCAGGACACTCACCGATGCCAGGGATTATCCGAAAGAGGTCATTCACCTTCTTGTCCACAGCTGTGGTGATGATCTTCACCCGGGGGAACGCATAGGCGACCGAGTGGACACCCATCTCTGCCATGAGCAGGGAGAGCAGGAAGATCTTGTCCTCTGGGACATCATGATCCTACAGAAAATGCACAGGGATAGCCCAGAGTGAGTTACCCCAGCCTGTGCTGGGTGCCCTGACACCCTCCTTCCCGCAGAGGAGCCAGCTCCAGGCACTTCCCCTGAGCAGGGCTGTGGCTGGTGCTTTGCAGGTTGCTCCAGAGCAAACCCCCTGCCTGAGCCGTCCCTACCAGCAGCACCCTCACTGCCATCATGGCTGCAGCACCCGTGGAGACCGTGCAGTCCATCAGGATGACGTGGTCTTCGCTGATGTCCTTCGGCAGCCGCAGGTAGTGGAGCTGGGTGGAGGAAAGAGAAAGCAGCTTAGGGGCTGCAGGCAAATGGAGAGACCTGAGCCCTTCTCTCTGAGGAGAGAAGGATCCCTCCTGCCTCTCTGTCCCTGGGACCCTGGGCTGTCAACTCAGAGCCAGCACAAACCAGCCCCTGTGTGCCTGCTAGCAAAACACACTTGAGCAGCTTTCAAAGCACTCAACCCCTGCCAAGACAAACTCCTGGGTTGCTGAAGAGCTGTCAGGAAACACCTGAGCCACATCCCCACCCTGCAGGCAGGTTAACACCAGGGGATGTGCTCAGTGGCCCAGGGCTTTACCTCTGGCTCGCCGGTGTTGCAGTTGGTCTGGATGAGGATGGTGCCGATGCGGACGTCCTTGCACACGGCGCGCAGCGCTGGCTCCATGGTCTCTCCCGCTCGCAGGATGGACACCCCGGTGATCTGCAGCACACAGCCGGGGTGGTTGCACAGTGTAGGAGCTGCCACCACCCCACATTGCGTCTCAGCAGTGGGGGACTGTAATGGGCAACCTAAAAGCACATCCCTTCCAAGGGGGCTGTGCCACTCCCAGTCCACCCTCAGCGAGAGGGCGTGAGTGGCACGGTGACACTGCTGATGGCACCTTTGGTCACCGACCTGCCTTTCCTGGTGGTACATTGTGTTACACTCATGACAGCAGGCACCAAACCCAGCCTGATGGCAGCCAGGGCTTCCAGTGCACCCCCACAAGGCAGGTCTCAATGGCTTCCACTTACTTGCTTCCCACTGTATGTCCTCCCTTCATAGTCATGTCCCTGAGGGGTCTGGACTGTGCAACTCTACAAAAAACACATGAGAAGAGTTACCAGGGGCTCTGATGTGGCCCTCACGGGAGCCCTGGAGTCAGCAAGCCACAGGGGCTGGACCCTTGGACACCAAGGCTGGACAAAGAATTCTCACCCAGGGCCACAGGATTGTTCCATAGCCTAGGGGAGTCCTGGCATGTTTTAATCCGAGGGTTGAAAGGCCTGGTCCATGGGGAAGGTTGGAGGAGCAGCACCAGGACTGTCCTGGCTCCCCAGCAGATGAGGGTTAGGAATCAGAGAAGAAACCCAGCACCTACAGCTTTGAACCCACCTGGAACGGGAGCAGGGAGAGCGCGTGCTCAATCAGCAACCGCATCAACCTTTTGGAGTAGAAAATGAACTCGTCTCTGCTGGTCTCCTTGTTTCTAGAGGGAAGGGAAAGGCAATGTCAGCCTTTGCTCTGGACCAAAATGTGTCCCGGGAGATGCTGCCAGAGGTCTGGCAGTCCCTGTCCCTTCCTGGTACTTGTCTGCACTATCTGAGCCTGAAACTGTGCTGTTGGTTTCAAGGTGAAAAGCAGAAAAACTGTTGGCAAGATCACTGAGCAGTAACTGCACAGCTCCTCCATGCAAGGGCCACCACCATCTGCCTTATCTTGCGTCTCCCAGCCACACAGACAGGCAAAAGTCGGATTAGGAAGCCCAAAGACAGGCCAGCCCATCCCATCAGCAGCTGAGCCCAATCCCACCCCAGGAGCCACAGCAGGGGCTTTACCTGATGATGGTGTGCATGCCCCTCACCTGAGGGGTGCTCTTCAGCACACTGAGGGTCTGAGGAAGGGGGTGGCACTGGTGGGCAGAGGCCAGGGCAGCCCTGAAAACCAAACACATGGTTAGAAGGTCTGGGGAAGGCTGTCCAAAGGCTGGAGCACAGCACACGGCCAGAGTCATCCTCCCAGATGTCATCTCACACTGCAAACACACACAGAGGCCATCCAGCTGAACTGGGTGAGCAGCCAGTCCTGCCTGGTCCCTGCCATGGCAAAGGGACCTGCACCCACAAACCAGGGCCTTTGGAGTTAGGGTGACCTTGCAGCCCAAGGACCTGCCCTTCCTCTGGACTGCTCACCCGGGATCATAGAATGGTTTGGGCTGCAAAGGACTTTAAAGACCATCTTGTTCCAGCCCTGTGCCATGGGCAGGGACACCTTCCATTAGACAGGGTTAATTCAAGCCTCATCCAACCTGGCCTTGAACACTTCCAGGGATGGGCCAGCCACAGCTCTGAAGGTGGTTGGCCCATCTTGGCTTCCACTGTTTGGGAAGAAGGTAGAAAATAAAATCAAAACCTTCTCCTATTCCAGAGTCTTATCTGTTGATGGATCTTGGACTCATGGGGTGAGGAGGGGCTGTTGTGGTTGTGTCTGACCTACAAGTGCCAGATATCACAAGGAATTGGACAGGCAGCCAGGCTGGCAGCGCTGGCACATATCTGGAATGTGACTATTTTAGAGACCACTTGGCCCATTCCAAATTGGGAACAGCTTCAAGACTTTATGGCTGGACAGGACTGGCTCTGTGTGACTCATTCCACATAACGAATAGGGCTGGGAGCTATTCTGGGATCAAGGGAACACCATTCACGGGGAAGCGCACAATGGAGCCCCATTAGTCACTTCTCCCTGTGAGAGTGGCAGTAATGAGAAGGAGGTCACATTTGGCTTCCACAAGGCTGGGCAGGATGGACAAGCAACTTTGTCTGGGAGGAGGGCTGGGGTTGGAAAGCCACACGTCAGATCACACACGTGCCAGCAGCTGCACCCGGCAAAAAACACAGAGATGTCAGGGAGGCAGAGAAGAGAGCAAATGAAAGCACTGCATAAATAAGACTTCAAATCAAGCAGAAACCTGGATTAATGGCACACAGAGGCACGCAAGCAGAGAGGAAGACAGAGAAGATGGATAGGCGTGGAGGAGGGCAGAGCTTGAGGCCTCCATCCACACAGCCATCTCCTGGTCTTGGCCAACCGACACCAAATGAGACATTCCCAAGGCCTGGGGGTACTTAAGGGCTCCTTCTTGCTCTGCCAGCTCCACTCCTCTGTAGCAGCCAAGAGCCCCATGCAGGGAACACTCCAGGACAGCTGGCAGCCACGCAGAGAGCATGGATGGGCAGTGGTTCCTTCGTGGGCTTGCCCGCTGTGTGCAGAGCCCGTTGCTGGTGGGACGAGCAGCCCTCAAGGCCCCGGCCCTGCTGTCAGTGAAGCAAGCTCACTCCGTTAGTCGCTGTCCCGCGGGTTAGAAGCCCTTGGAGATGCTCCTTGCTGGCAGCACCCTCAGCTCTGCCCCCACAGCCCTCCCTTCCCTCCTCCTGCCAGAGCTGGCCTGGGGACAGATCCTGGGGGCACAGCCCTGCCTAAACCCCTCCCAGCCCCTGGGACACCAATACATGTGGTGATCAGGGCCTTGTGGGAGACGCTGGAGCTGGCATGGGGGCTGCCAGCTCACCTGCTTTATGGGGTAGAGACAGACCCCAGAACAGAGCCACACCTGCACATGGCCTTGGCTGGGTTTGCCCAGGTGACAAACTGCTGTTGCCTAAACCAGAGGAGCTGTTTGGGTCATCTCCCATCGCCACAGCTCACCAAGGAGCAAAGGACTGAGCTTACCACTGGCACTTTTCCCCTCCATCACTGCCAGGTCCATGTCACAGCACCCCACCATGCCAGTGGAAGGGGCAGCCTCTCTCCTGTCACGGTGTGACCTGACTCCTGCTCCCTGCCACAGATACCAAGGGTTTTCCAACCTCTATGAGCAGTGGGAACACTTCTCCAGCATCCCAAGCTGTCAACAGACCCCCAAGAAATACTGTCAGCATTCTGTCACCAAGTTTTCCACACCTTCCTTCGACAGCCATGCAGTGTGGGGACAGGGAGGTGTGGATACCACCCTGTTTGGAAGCCACTCAGTGTTCTGGGGGTCTCCCCATGGTGCTTTCTGGGGAAACAGGTCCCATTTTTGGGATTAAGCCTCTCTTTCAAGTGCCCCCACCTCTGTCTGGCCTACAGAGCCCCAGCAAAGCGGGACCCCATCAGCTGTTCGCCCCAAGATCCCCTGCCCGGGTTAGTGAGGCGGCTCACCCTGCACAGCCCTCGCCCACTCCCCGCCGTTAGTGTCACAACACTGCCAAAAGCATTTGTCTCCTCACATATCCCAGCGCAGCTTCCTCTGGTCACCCGGTGGGAGGGATGTTCAGGGGAGACAAGACAGGAGACATGAGAGTTTAAGAGAGGGACAAACATGACATGAAACAGAGGAGAAAGCACTGTCATTAGTCAGAGGGGGAAAAAATCCCCTAATTGATCAACGGCTCTTGGACCTGCCTGGTGCCTGGGCCATCACCGTGCAGACCCAACGCTCCTCCCTTGGTGACCAAGTCATGTCACCACTGCTCTCCATGGCACTGGCTCCATGAGGGAAAAGAACTGTCTGCTCTCACTGTCCTGGAGCCACAGCAGGGACACTGTCCCACCTCTGTCCCAGGTAGTACCACACTGCAACGGTGGCTCCTGGAGTTTGGAGGGATGTACAACAACAGAATGCTAGAATGATTTGGATGAGAAGGAACCTTAAAGATCAGCTCATTCCATCCTCCCTGCCATGGGCAGGGACACCTTCCACTAGACCAGGGCGCTCCAAGCCCCATCCAGCCTGGTTCTCCACACTTCCAGGGCTCATGGCAAACCCTCACTGAGGGCTCCAATGCAAGCTAAGAGCAAGCACAGGAACTCAAGGCCAAAAACCTTTGTCCAACTTAAAATCCTTCATCCAACCTGCCCTGCTCCCAGACAAAATGCTTGTCGGCTGGCAGGGGCATTCCCCACTTGCATGATGATGATCTCCAAGCCTTGGACAACATTGAAAGCCAAGAGCACTGGAAATGTGGAGAGAAACCTGGCTCTGAGCAGAACATCACCTGCAGGGATGACTTTCCTTCCCCTGGGCTCACCTGGACCTACCCTGGGCCCACCATAACTGGAGAGGGCCTGCAGGCCTGCAAGGAAGAGCAGCCATCCACTGTGTCACCCCCTGCCCATCCTGGGAGGGAAGGAGGGAGTGTGATGCCTCCTGTCCCTCCCTGCCAACACAGGACTGTGACAGAACATCCAGACGGGCAGCCATGAGCACGTCAAGAAAGCGTCTTATTTTGGAAACTTATTTTTTCCCCCTGAGAACAAAGGCTTTGAAGGGAAAATAAAATGGAAAGAAGAAAGAGAGAAGAGAGAGAGAGAGAGAGAAAGGGGTGACCATATTCCAGGAAGGCTTCAGGGAGCATCCTTGGCTCTTTGTGGAACATGCTATCGAGCAGGAAGCAGACAAGAGACATCCAGCTACAAAGGAGATGATGCAGTCAAGGCATTTCAAACACGTACACGGCTGCCTTTCAGGGCTGACATTTCAAACAAGGGCTATTAAACTGCGCCACGGGTTGATATTTAAAGACACAATTGGCAAAGGGCACGCCAAGCTGATCGGGACCTTGGGGTGGGAATATTGATTGGTGAGGGGAACAGGCTGGAAAGAACACCGGCTCCAGGAGCGGGGCTGGATGCTGAGAGCGTGCCAGGAGGGATGGAGAACAGGCTGGGCTGGGAGCACTGTGTCCCAGCATGGGCTGGCTGCTCTGGCTCCTGCTGCCAGCTCCAGGAGGAACACCCACCTGGGAGTGCTGGTGTGGAACCACATCTCCAGCATGAGCACAGTCAAACGTGGGGGAAGCTGGGTAAGAAATATCCTAAGAATGTTAAGGTCCAACCTGTGCTCTGAGGGAATAACTGGGAAGGCAAGCATGCTCCTCACTAGCCAGTAGCTTCAGAATGATAACAAGCCTTGCATGTCCAAGGAAGGCACCATTTGCTTTAAAACCCCCAGAACTCAGCCTGAGTGGGGAAAGGCACTCCTTGCCTGTCCCAGCCAGTTGCTTGGCCAGGAGAGGCAGCCCTGGAGCACGAGGACCACAGAGACACCTGGGACTGGGGCCAGATCTGAGCACTCAGGTTTTATCCTACCAGCACAAAGCCCTCCCTGTGTCCCCACCACCTCCAAACAGCAGTGACTTCAGAACAACTGTGACATTTAGATGAAGCCATTCCAGACAAGAGGATAGGGAACTGTTTGTGATGAAAAGCCTGTATTTGCCAGGCACATCTCACTCGATGCGACTCTCCATCCACCCCACTCCTCTTGCAGAGAGACAGGGGGCTGGGGGAAAACCACAGCAGCAGTAAAGCACTGGGGCTCTAGCAGCTGCAACAGATTTGGGATTTTGCAGGAATTTTTTTCCAGATTTTCTGTCAAAGGCAGAAAATGGAATCTTTAAACAGAACACAAAGACATCTGTGGGTGTGGTGATCATGGAGGTGTTTCTGGAGATTACCTTTCCAAACTTGCCATCATAAAACTTCTAATACTTTATGGATATACTAAATACTCGATTTTTAAATGCAGAAGAAGATCACCTGTACTGAACAACCCTTTGATTAAGGAGGAGAAAGAAATTTTATGTGTGTTCGAGTATCTATCTCTATATACACATATCTGTTTGCACACATATTAGTCTCCTCTCTAATGTCATTTCTCCCATTATTAAACCAACAGATCTCTCTTCATACTAAGGAGCATTTTTCCACCTGGACATCCAGACACAGAGGGAAGCTTACGTGTCTGTATGGAAATATCAGGCCCTAGGGTGTTAAACAAGCAAAGGGAAATAAAATAAAACATCCACTTGTCTAGTCTAGGAAATGACTGGCTGAGGCAGAAGTAAGTAAAGCAGAGCCTTCTCCCTGTTCATCTCAGTTATTTTAAAAGCTCACTGTATGCCAAATGTAAATCTCAAGGTTACTTGAGCTGAGTATCTCCATGCAATGATGGAGATCTAAATGGAAACCCATCTTCAGTAATGCATTCTGTCGGTTCCCTACAAGAATACCTGAAAGCCTAGGTGGCTTCTTAATGGAAGCAAGAGAGCTGAGGCCCCATCTGAGGCCCCACGCTGAAGAGGTTAAGTAATTCAACATATATGTTATAGCATCCACCTGCCTATACTGAGAATTTAGAAATCCTGCTGGACTTAGCAGGATTTTCTCAGTCCTCCAGAAAAGGTTCTGCATCCTCCAGAAGCTGTGGGAAAGTTGGTACCTCTGGCTATGTGAAGCTGCTCTGCTCCTTTGGCAGATCCCCGCCTGCAGTGAGGGGACCAGGGCTCCCACCACCTTCGAGATCACAGACTGGTTTGGGCTGGGAGAGACCTTAAAGCTCATCTTATCCCAACCCTATGCCACAGGCAGGGACACCTTACACTATCCCAGGTTGCTCCATGCCCCATCCAACCTGGCCATGAACACTTCCAGGGATGGGACAGCCACAGCTTCTCTGGGCAACCTGTCCCAGAGCCTCAGCACCATCACAGGGAAGAATTTCTTCCTATTACCAATCTAAATTTCTCCTCCTTTAGTTTAAAACTGTTCCCCCTCATCCTATCACTATCTCCCCATTTAAAAAGTTACTCTCCGCCCTCTTTTCAAGATGCTTTGACTAATCTAATAGTTGATGTTTAACGATCTTTAATCATCAGGGGTGGAGAGTGGCTCTGAAAATCGTTCATTTTAGAGGATGAAGAGAAATAAAACAGAACCTCGGGATGCAAAACCTCCCCTCCTGCAGAGACCGAGGATCCCAGGTACCAACCTGGCCCTGTCCCAGCCTCAGGGCTCTGCACTCCAGCTGGCAGTACCTCCCTGGGGAGCAGCCCTGTCCCTGCCATCCCAAAGCCGAGGGCGAGGTGGCCTTTTGTCCCCGTGGAGGGTGACAAGGCCGAGCACTACGCGAGCTGCCGGTCCCGCCATGGGTCGGGGTGAGGCCAAGCAGTGCCTGGCATTGGAAATGCCTCGGCTGCACAGACAGGACAGAGTGAGGGCTCTTACCTGACACTGAGTTCACGCTGCGGCAGCAACACAAAGACACAACGCAACCGGTATTAAGCATTGTCAACACCAGGGTCGTTTCAAGATAAAAAGAAAGGAAAAATAGGAATATTTTCCTGAATTCACATGCAGCCTTTTGCCCTTCTTCCCCTCCCCAGGTCAGGAGAGCCCTCCCCAAGCCAACCCCTTGCGTGGCTCACAGTGGCACCGTGGGGGTGCTGGGTTTGCTGTGGTATTCCCTGGCTGGATCCCAGGAGCTGGGGGAAACAGCCATTCCCCTTTCCTGGACTCTGCCTCAGGGCTGGGTGCCCTTCTCAGCCTGGCACTAGCAGAGATGCTGGGGCTTTGATCCTTCTTCCTGCAACCGAGGGTTTAGAAACCACCTTCCCAACCAGAGTTTAGTGCTGGGAATTCAGACAGCCAGGCACCCCAGGAGGAGGAAACTGCCAAGACACCTTTGCCAAGAGCAGCCCCTCCTCAGTGGGCATGGGAAGCTGGATGTCAAGGTGTGCCAGCTCCCATCCCAGGGCTGAGCAGCTCCTGCCACCTTGGAACTCCAAAAAAGACTTGAAAGAATCAAGCCCTTTACTTTTCAGTGCATCTATATCCAGGTCACACACCCTGCACTTGTCAGGACATCACTCTTGAGCATTTCCATGACTAAAACATCACCAAAGCTACAGATGTGGGGTGGGAAGAGACTCTGCTGCTCGGGGACAGCAACATAAAATACCATCAGCTCATTGCAGAGTCCCAAACCACTGGTCAGAACTGGCCCAGGACAAACAGGAGAAGACTTCAAGCCAGCAGTGGGGAAGTGATGGAGCATGTACCTGGACAGGGACTCAAACTTGGCAAGACTTTGAGTTTTGAAACCCAGGAGCTGCACACAGCACAGAAGTGGAGAAGGGCTCCTGGCTGAAAAGACTGCACAGCAGTATCTGCATGGGAGGGAAGAGGAGAAGTCCAAGAGCAGTGGAGGGTTTGGGGCAATGCTGGCCCTGGGAGAGCTGCAGGCAGGGGGACACATCCCTTGGATCACGGGAGGGTGGCTGGTTTGTCCCCTCATGACTTGCTGTCCCAGGGAGGGAAGGAAGCTGCTGCTGGACCACAGCTGGCAAAGGAGCCAGGACCAACCAGAGCAGAGGGAGAAGGCAGTTTCCTTCACTGGCCTGAGGGAGAGGGCTGGGAGGAGTTCACAGGAACTCCCACACCTGGAGCACAGGAAAAGCCAGACCATTCCCACCTGGGCACCCAGAGCACAGCTCCCTGCCAGGCAAGGCTGTGAACCCCCCTCACCACCCATGGACCAGGCAGCTCTCACCTCTTCCAGCTGGCTGTGGACGTGCTGAACAATCAGGTCGATGGCCACAGTGTTTCCACTCCCTGGAGTGACCCAAAAGCAAAAGAATCACAGAATCAGAATTGCAAAGGTTGGAAAAACCCTCTAAGATTGAGTCCAACCATTAAATCAGCACTGCCAAGCCCACCACTAAACCATGTCTGTTAGGGTTACACCTGGAGGCAGGGTTCAGAAAAGCACAAAGCCCCGAGCTCCAGGGATTCTGCAGCTACAAAAGGCATGCCAAGGGGAACACAGGACTGCACACCGTGGATCCCCCCACATCTGTCTGCTTGGCCCCAGCCTTACCCCCATGAGGGTTCTCCTGCTCTGCCTAGAGTTAGGTTAGGCCTAGGGTTACTCCTAGGGCTAGGGCTCAGAAAACCACGGAGCCCAGAGCTGAGGGCAGAGGCCGGGGTCTCTGAGCGGTGTCACTGAGCACTGCCCCGGGCAGTACCTCGGGGGACCACGATGTCAGCCAGGCGCATGGTGGGCTGGATGTACTGGTCGAAGGCGGGCTTGACAAACTTGTTGTACTGCTTGATGACACCCTCGATGTCCCGGCCCCGCTCGCTGATGTCCCTGCGCAGGCGGCGCACCAAGCGGATGTCCGAGTCCGTGTCCACGAATATCTTCAGATCCAAGAGCTGAAAGGAGAGGGGAGGGGACAAATCCCACCTGGTCAGGAGTGGGACTCAACCCACCTTCCCCTGCTGCCCCACGCGGGGCTGAGCCCAGCCCAGCACCTGATTAACAGGGCCTGGCTCTGCTCTGGCCTGTGCAGAGCTTTTCCCCGAAACGCGGCTGGTGCTGCTGTGAGCCCCTTGCTGCCACCTTATTCCCGTGTCCCCTGAGACCTGTCCTGCTCCAAACTCTGTCCCTTCTGCTAACCAGCTCCAACACTTTGGCTGGATGTTATTTAAGAGCAAGGAGGAGTTACTGCCTGTAACACACACCAAGCACTGGCTTCTTAATCGAAAAATCCTTGGATGGCTTGAACTGGAAGGGACTTTAAAGATCATCTCATTCCAAGCCTCTCCCACAGGGAGGGAATTATTGCTGGAAAGGAGCCCAGCACAGCAGGGCAGCTCATGGCTCTGTCCTTAGCTACAAGAGGCAGGAGTGGGGATGCTGAGTGGAGTCTCCTGGGGGATTCACCCAGCTGTCCACTGGAGGTCATCCTTGCTCCAGGAAAGTGCAACCCAAGCTCTCACTTGGCAGGGGAGGAAACTTTTCAGACAGAGCTTGGCTAAGTCTGCGTATGGCTCACTGCCTGCTGCAGGATTTGTCAGGGCTGCAGATACTCTGAGGGATGGAGACAGGCTGAGAGAGCTGGGGTTGTACAACCTGGAGAAGATACGGTTCTGGCGAGATTTTAGAGCCCCTTCCACTACCCAAAGAAGCTCCAAGAGAACTGGAGAGATACTTTGGACAAGGGCTTGGAGTGCCAGAGCAAGGGGAAGTAGCTCCACAATGCCAGAGGGCAGGGTTAGGTGGGATATTGAGAGGAAATTTGTCCCTGCCAGAGTGGTGAGGCCTTGGCATGGGGTGCCCAGAGAAGCTGTGGCTGTCCCTGGATCCCTGCAAGTGCTCATGGCCAGGCTGGACAGCGCTTGGAGCAACCTGGTCTCATGGAAGGTGTCCCTGTCCATGGCAGGGGGCGGAACAAGATGAGCTTTAAGGTCCCTTCCAACCCAAACCATTCTGTGATTCTATGATAAATCCAAATAATCCTCAAGAGAGTGTGAAGTGCTGGATGATTCCATGCTAGGAACACCAGGCTCTGTGCAGTAGAAGTTCAGCAGACTTTGCCTCTGGATGTGCAAGATGCAGCATGCAGTGTGGAGGTGGGCTATTTCTAGTTGTGTTTATCCACCAGCACTGCCAGGAACCAGGTCACTGCTCAGCTCCTGTTTCCTGGGCGCGAATGGCTGAGATTGAGGTATTTGCTGAAACACTTGACCTCTGCCAGGGGCTCTTCCCTGGCTACTGAGAGTAAAAGCCTATTTCTCCTGCCTCGGGAAGTGCTGCATCATCTGGTGTAACTTGGAAGAGAAGGTAACCTCCCTGCTGCAGGACCTCAGGAGAGAGCATCCTCCCACCATGTCTCCCCAGAACTGCTTCAAAACCTTTCCTCACCTTCAGGAGCTCCTTGTCTGCAAATGCCATGATGCCTTCAAAGATAATCACATTGGCGCCATACAGGGTTTTCTGTGGAGGCAAAATAGATGTGGTTAGGCACAGAACATCTGTTCAGAGGTGCCCTGTCCCTGGGAATCTCTCTGGGTTGTGACTGTGACAGCTCACCCAAAAAACGCACCCTGAGCCAGGCACAGAGCAGAGGGTGACAGCACCAATTGGACTGCGGGGGTGAGGGGCTGGAGGGGTCCCTCTGTCCTGCCCTGGCCATCCCCCACCTTGTCCCAGCCCCTCAGTGCCCCATACCCATTCCTTCTTCCGGCTGTGGGTGGTGAAGTCGTAGATGGGGATCTTGACACTCTTGCCTTGCTTCAGCTTCTTCAGGGTGGCGATGATGAGGTCGAAGTCAAAGGCGTCGGGGTGGTCAAAGTTGAAGTCATTGCTGGCTGCCTGCTCCTGCTGCTGCTTGGTCAGCACCTGCCACAGAGCAGAGCTTAGGGCACATGGCTGGGCAGTTCCCTCCCCACTGCCTTGCCCAGTCACCTCTTCCCTGCCCCACAAAAGCCACTGGAAGGAAAAACCACAAGGCTGTCCCTAAACAAGGTATTTACTTACCAGGGGTTGCCACATAATCCCAGGTTGGTTTGGTTTGCAAGGGACCTTAAAACTCATCTCATTCCAACCCCCTGCCATAGGCAGGGACACCTTCCACCATCCCAGGTTGCTCTAGGCCCTGTCCAGCCTGGCCTTGAACACTTCCAGGAATGGGACAGCCACGGCTTCTCTGGGCAATGGCAAATTGAGGAGCCTGGTCAGGCCAACAGAGGTGCAGCCTCACCTTGTAGAAGGAGTCCATGGACAGCAGAACCACCCACGGGACATCAAGAGCTTCAATGATCATGGTGGCCACCGTGGTCTTCCCAGAGGCGCTGCCTCCTCCCAGGCCTGCCAGGGAAAAGGTGATGAAGCCACCAAACCCAGGCACAGCCCTTCCCACCACAGGCTGGAGCCCAGGTCCTGCACTGCTGCACTAAGCTGGAGGAGCCTCCAAAGTGGGAAGTAACAGGCACTCCAAGAGATTATCCTGGAAAATGTCAAATGGCCTGTACTGGAACTGCCAGCAACATGCCCAGCAAAAGCTGGGAAACCCACCCATAGATGGTTATGTAACATGGGGAGTGCTGGCATGGGAACCAGTCCAGACTGAATCCCTAGGAGCCTGTGACAGCCCAGGCAACAGGAGCTGAGGGAACAAGAAGCAGAGTGTGGTCTCCTACAACACATCACACCCCTGCACACTCTCAGGTTCAGCCCACCCAGTCAAAGCAGGACTAACCACAGGGACTCCCCCTGCTCCTGTTCAGGCTGGAGCCAACCCCAGATTTCCAAGTAGGTGGTGGGGCAGGATTCCTACCAAGATCTCGGGGAGAGCCACGGGGCAGGTGGCACGGATGCATGTAGCAATGTGCCCTCTGTTGACGGAGTAAACAAGCTACCCTTTGTCTACTTAAAAAGGAGAAAAGCCCAGAAGTTTCTCTCCTCAATTTGGTTAAAAGACACTTCATAGGACCTTGGAGACTTCACCTCCAGGTGAAGGATACCTAACTGGACAGAAGCCAAAAAGTCCTGCCTAAGCAATTCACTAGAAAAAGAAGAGAACAAAAGAAGTAAATCACTTTTGTGAAGTGTTTTAGCAGGAGCAAGAACCTCTTGCCCTGGCTCAGTTTTTCCCTGTAAAGAGCTCTTTCATTTTGCCTTTTATTAAAACTTTTTGTTTCCAACACTGTCGCAGGAGCCATCCTGTTACTTTTATGCCACCTGAGGTAGCTGAGCTATCAAGGGTATAATGTTTGTCTATGAGAGCTTATAAGACCTGGCTCGAACGGACAAAACATTAGATGCAGAGGTGACCTACCTATGACAAAGGCCTCCTTGGACTGTGTCCCGTGCTCGTTGTACCAGGGTGGCCGGCCTGCCGTGTAGATGGTCCTTTTGCTGGTCCGCAGCAGCGGGGGCTCAGACTTGCACTGGCTGGTGGTCCGCTTGCGGGGGGGCTTGGTGGAGCCCATGGCGGGATAGAGCCGGTCCAGGGATTCAGCACTGCTGCTGCTGGGTGGGCACAGGAGGGGCACAATTACCGTGGGGCGTGTGGGAGGGGGGTCGTGAGGGAGCCTGAGATGTACAGGTCAAGGGTGGGACAGCCAAGCACAGCCCCACTGCAGCACTACCAGCACTCACATCTCGGTGACCCACGGCCACAGGTAGCACCGAGGAATTCTCACACAGAAGCAATCTGAGCCTGGAAGAGGTGCCATGCAAGCATCTGTCCCTAAAGTCCTGCTGTCTGAGGAATGTCTGCATCTGCCTCATGTCAGTGAGCGCTCAAAGCATTGAGGGGTGTGTTCTAGGGGGTAACAACTCACCCTGGTGTGCCAAGGGACCTTTCTTGGGGACAGCAGTCAAACACATGGGTTACAGCACAGCCATCCTCAGTCCCTTTCCTCTCCCCACTCTGAGTGCTCCACTCACACCCAAGACCTTGTTCTCCCAGCCTTTTGTCCTGAAGCCCCCTGGAACAAGCCTGCAAGCTGAGTGCTCTGAGCTCACCCAAAGCCCTGGAGCTGCTGAACACTCTTCCTTATCTTCCCTGTGGGAGAGGGAGAGGAACAAGGCACCCTCCAGAGCCCTTTCCAGGCTGGCAGGAGGAGAGCTGTGGCCAGGAGGCGATAAGTGGCCTCTGGCCAGGAGATAAGCTATAGCTGCTGCCTGGCCAGCTAAGGGACAGGGAGGATTATTTATACCAGTGCCTGCTCCTCCCTGCTCCTGTTCTGCTGCCCCAGAGGGACATCTGCTCCCTGGGACGAAGTGAAAAGGGCTCTCCTGGCTCATGCTGTTCCTCTCCCCAGCCATGACTGGGCTGGAAGGGAAATCAAGAGATCTGGGCAGCACTGGCTCCACTGTTTGGTACAGCCCAGCCGAGCCAGCAGGGCTTTGCTGCTGCTCTGTTATGGCTTGCTCTCGAAAGGGCTTAAACTGCAGGGCTTTACAGATTTTGGGTTGATTTTAAGCTGTTTCACTATGAAGATTAATCCCCTTCCCTTCCCCCAGCCCTTTTTAGAACAATTTTAGATAAAGATCAAACTTTCAGAAGGGCCATCTGTGTGTGAAGTGACCTGGCAACCCCCATCCCTGTATGGCAAACAAACCCCCTGGGCATGGTGGGATCTCCCTGGCAAACCCCCTGGGCATGGCAGGATGCCCACAGCACACCATCCCTGCGGAGCAGGCAAGGAGACAGGGATTTGCCTGGCCTTGCTGAACTCCTGCTAACAAAAGCCAGGCTGCAGCTCCTGCCCCTGTGACAGACCTCTCCCACCCTAAGCTGTGCACTCATGGGGATCCCCACAGGAGCTCAGGACACCAACACCCCATCCCTGGCCAGAGCCCATCGGCACACACAGCCAGTTCCAAGCACTGCCAGGCTCAGGCTCAACCAGGAGCCCAAAACACCCCAACTACGACTCTTTAAAAGCAACCTCAGGAGATGACATCCATTGGGAAACCTTCTGGGATGTCTTCCTGTGAAAAAATGGCTCCTTCCATGAGTAGAAGCAAACCCAGGCGGGATGTTTGGGTCTCCTCTCCCGTGGGTGATGCTGCAGCAGCCGCTACCCACCGGTGCTACTCCCAGAGCGGGGCCGACAGCAGCCACTGCTGCTGGGACATAAACAACGTCACTCCGGCTTGATAAAAGCAGAGGTGACAAAAACACAGTTGTTTACACAGAAGAAAGCGGTTCCTTTCATCCACATCCCAGCCCCTCTCCTGGGACCGCGCTCGCTCCAGAGCCGCTCTCCTCTGGCATTGCACGTCAGTCTCCATGAGACATCCCCCTCTGGGGATGCTCTTCTCCTTGGTGTCACACAGCACCCAGCTCTGCTGTGCCAGCCTGCAGATCCTGACCCAGGCCATCATTCCCAAAGTGGCTCTCGGTTGGACAAGGCTCGGTTTCTCGGAGCTGGAGCAAGGCTGAGCTCTGCTCCCACCAGCATCAATATCACCCAGCTCCTGGCAGGGAGGAAGGGGCTCGGACTCCAACAGCTCCACCAGTGCAAAGAATTACAGACACAGCCCCATCTTGCTTTCCCCTCATCTCTCCATTCTGCTCTCCAGGGTGCTGGCACAGAGGGGACATTGCTGCAGGATGCAGGGACAGGCCCCTGGGAGAGGAGCGGAGCCATCCTCCCCCTGCACACCTGGGGCTGCAGCACCTGAATCCCATCCCAAGAGTTGATGCTCTGCCTTATCTCACCAAAATTCTACATATTTCTAACAATATCATCTAAACCTGTACATCTATGCCTCAGCTTCTACAGGCAGATGATATTCTACACCTCTCAAATCCACCTAATTCCCATTATTTATCTGGGAGCAACACGGCTGTGGGGCTGTAGGGCTGTCCTGGAGTTCTCCAAAGGTCATGCCTTTTCTCCTAATGTTACGCTTCAAGATTTGTAGATGTTTTCCATGGCTACCTTTGCCAGGAAGGCGGCTCCAAAGGGTGGGCAGATCTCAGCTATCTCCACTGGCCATTCCTCCCTCCTCCTTTTCAGAAATTCCCTGCAGCAGTGCTGAAGGCCCTGCAATGCCCTGTACCCCCAAGGTGAAGCCCCCAGAGAAGGGGACTCTGTTTAGAGTTGGAGTCAATGCCATTGCTCTGCCCAGAGGAGGGTCCTGGTCCCTCTTGGACCCTCCCCTGCAGAGCAAACCCGTGGGGTGCCAAAGCCATGCAAATGGGAAAGGAAACATTACCTGGGCTTGGCAACCCCTCCTGGAGGGCCTGGCTGCCACCAGCTCTCTCCATGCTGTCCCCAGCTTTTGGGGATGCTTTTGCCTTCCCTGTGGCTACTGCATCCTTGCTGGAGCATTGTAGGAGAATGAATTACAGGCAACCTCACCCCTGATAAGCCACAGCTGTGCTAATTACCAAACCAGCCTTGCCCTTAATGGGTCACAGCTGTGACCAATAAGGATGAGTGGTTAGCCGGCCGGGGGAGGTCTGACCAAACGGGAGAGAGAATTGTTGCTGTTGAGGGGTTTGCTGTGAGCTGAGTCTGAGCCTGCTGTAGTCAGAGTCTGTGAGTAGTTCAGGTCTGCTGGCTGAGCTGTGAGGAAGAATAAACCAAGACCTTGGCACACACTGATGAACCAGAGTGTGTGTCACGGCTCATTTCTACCTCTAAAGTGAGGTCTGCTGTGACAGAGTGTCCCAGAGGAAGCCTGGGGGGGTCCTACTCCTGAGAAGGGCTCTCCAGCTCTGCTGTTGTGCCAGAACAAACAAAGGAAGCATTCTGCTCCTGCTTAGTCCAAGCACGGATTTACTGAGGTGCAAGGGATGCTCCCATTGCCATCCCTGTGCCCAGGCTCTGCATCCCACTGCCTTCAGAGACCCTGACCACCCTGGATCCATGCTGGGCTGCCTACAGAAAAGGCAGCAGGTCCCAAAAGTGCCCACAGCAGCAAGGAAAGATGGCACAGCCCCAAACTTGAACTTGGCAGCAGACAGGAGAGCATGTCCTGGGCTCTGCACCCTGTAAACAACCCACAGACTGAGCTCCCAGCCCTGTGGGCCCCCAGCAGCCCCCACAGCCTGCTGAGGTGCCTGGCTGGCTGCAGCCATGTCCTGTGGGAAGCTGATCTTTTCAGACAGGAATTGGGGCTGAGGGACTGGGACAGGAGCCACCAAGAGTTCACTCCAGCAAACAAACAGAGAAAAACCAGCAAATTCCACCCAAAACCAAAGCAAAACTCACCCGCCATCTGGCCCAAGGGCCCAGCAGCCGGAGATGCGGATGCTGGAGAAGGCTGGGGGGCTGCTCATGTCCCCCTGCCGCCGATCCAGGGGTGATCCTGCACTGAGGGTGTCACCCCCTGTCCCTGTCCACACTTCAGCTCCTGCCCCACAACCTCTGGCACTAACAGGGTGAGGGAGGAGCTATGCCAGTGCTGCTCCCAGGGTGATTCTTGGGGCACAGAGCCATGTACGGAGCGTCCCCCTGGAATGGGCTCTGAAGGGTCCCACGAGGCTGGGGTGAGGCAGAGCCCCAGCAGGGCTGGGAGATGGCGGCAGGAGAAGGGAGCAGAGCAGGGGGAGTGTCTGTGCCTGGTCAGCAGCATAAGAGGATAGCTTAACCTCCAGATTACGTTCATTACCTGATATTAATAGCACTGGCTTGATTAAAGAAAAAGAGGGGGGCTGGGGGTGAGGTGACACCTCCCCTCACCGCCCCCAGCACAGGCAATAAACACCAGCCCCAGTGCCTCTGCAGCTGGGACTGGGGGTGCTCGGCTGTCCTGGACTGTGGGCTCAGCAGGGAGGGCACCTGGAGAGTGACATCCACATCCCCCGGCACTGGTGAGTTCCCAGGGACTTCTCAACACCACTGGGGAGGGGGCTGCAGGGGGCAGGAGGGGATGACCAGGGCAGGAGGTACCCGGCCAGCACCCCTCACGCAGCTGGTGGAGCAGCTGGGGCTCGGGGCCAGGGGCTGCTGACCATGCAAGGCTTTTTGGTCCAGGACTCCCACCCTTTTCCTTTGGCTCCCATCGGTGGGGGTCTGGCTGAGGGTCCCCCCTGGTCATTCAGCTTCCCCAAGAGCTGCCCCTCAGCTGGAATAAACAAGTGGGTGAAACTCAACACCCCGGGGCTGCCGGTGGCTAAGAATAACATCCCGCTGGCCGTGCCCGGCGTCCGCTCCCTCAGCACCCCCTGCCAGCTGCCCTGCACCCCCGGGCCAGCACCAGCCTCTCCAGGGACCCTGGGCAAGCTGCGGGAAGCCCAGGGAGCCTGGCAGCTGCTGAAGGAAGGGCAGGACATGTGGCAAGGGTGGGAAATGTTTGGCACCACGGCAGGGGGGTCCAGGCCAGCCCTGGGGCAGACTGGGGCAGAGAAGCCCTCAGCTCACAGCCTCTGGCTGCCAAGGAAGGGAGGAGGTGGCACAGGACACACTGAGGGCAGCCAGGCTCTGCCAGGGGCACAGAGCGCCCAAACAAAGTCCCATGGCCACCAAGTGAGACCCCAGCCCACCCCAGCATGGTGAGACAGGAGCTTGGCCTCTGCACACCCACTGCTGAGGGGTTCCAGGGAGAGTGCTCCCTCCTGCTTAGCACCAGCACCTGGAGATGGGGCCAGAAATGCAAAAAGACAAAAAGACCCTTTCCTCCTCCTCCTTGAGCCATCAAGGTTATTCCAGAGGCATCAGGAACACACTGCCTCCCATACTTGTCAGGAAACCCCTCCTGCTCCTGCTCACCAATGGGACATGCAGAGCATCATCTCAAAAGATGGAAACCTGGTGGGAACCAGAGATGAGGAGCTGGTCCTGAGGCAGGGGACAAGGACAGGAGGGTTTTGGGGTAACTTGTCCCCAGTGTGAGCCGCAGCTGCTGCCCCAACGTCAGGGAAGCGAGCGATGATCAAAGGAACTTTTCCATCCCTGGTCTCTGCCTGGACTCCCCTCTTGCTGTAAAAGCTCTCTCAGAAGTTTAAAAATAAAATTCTCTTCCGGAGCCACTTCTGTTCCTTCTCATTACAGAAGCAAAAAAGCAAAGGGATGTGGGACACGGGGCGAGGAGCCCTGGCCCAGGGATATTGTTCCTTATCGCGTGCTCCTGCTGCCACTTTTCCTGCCTTTGTTAAATGTCCAGGCAACAGGAGCAACTCCCCCAGCATCCCACCCGACATTCCCACTGGGCTCCCAAGTGGGACACGCCGGCTCCAAAGGCCAGCTGTGACTGAGCCTTCCTGCTGGCACAAACCTCTGCTTCCCAAGCCTCTTCCCAGCTTCTGAGCTCTGTCACAAGCTGAAATTCCTGGGTTTTGGACTTTTTTCTTCCAGGTGATTTTTAAGCAAATCCCTCCTCTAATGGCAGACTTAAAATATGGCAAAAGAGGAAAGCAGGCGCAAAAGTCAGGATCCCCTTTTCCTTCTGGTGCTGGCAGCTGCTGGGTGGGTTTCCCCTGGGATCTAAGGATGGAAGCGGGACTGCATGTGGATTTTCCTTGTTTGGTCACAAGTATTGTCACTGGATTGGTGTCAGAGCTGCAGACACACCAAGCCCCCAGTGGAAGGATGCCTGTTCCCAGGAGAGGGTCCTGCTCCCAGATCCCATCCTGGGAGCAGCACCCACAGGAGTGTGGGGGTCAAACCTGTTTCCTCCATCACTGAGTTGGGCTTTCTTGGGGTGGATCTGTGTGTGCCAGCTCTTGGCTGGGCCTTCCCTGTCCAAGAAACCATCCCAAGGAATGGAGGAACATGTCCAAGGGATCAAGAAACCTGCCCACGGGATGGATGAACCTGCTTGAGGAATGAAGGAGCCTTCCTGAGGGATGGAGGAACTCAGACATGGGATGAATGAGTCTGCCCAAGGGGTGGAGGGACCTGGCTGCCATCCTGCTGTCACATGCCATGCCCATGCCCATCCTGGAACCCACAGAACATCACCCCCTGTTTACCCAGCCTCGTACCAAGCTCTGCCCTGGCCGGAGGCACCTGGAGCTGCTGGTTCATCCCAGCTGCTCCACGCTCAGGCGCTCCCTTCCAGCTCTGTTGTGGTCTCCGCTCCCTCACCACAAAAGGACAAACATTTCCCTCTGCAAACCCACTTACCCCTGGCTATTTATAACAAGTGGGAACCACGGTGGAGGGGCTCTGTTACACAACCCAGTAACTCATCCCTCACTCAACCGGCACAACTCATGGAGACTCCTTCCTCCCATCCTCATCCTCACCTTCATCCTCCCTGCTGTCCACCACTGACTCACAGGAAGGGCACAGGCAGCTGCCAGCAATGGGCTTAGCTGCTGGAACAGGAGGGATGGGAACAGGAGGGATGGGAACAGGAGGGATGGGAACAGGAGGGATGCTTTGACTGACTCCAGGGCTAGTGGGGCGGTGCTGTGGGGTGTTGGTACCCTACAAGCAGGGATGGTCCATCCCTGGAGCACCAGTGATGCTCCAAATTCAATTCCCAGATATTTGATGTTTGGGAGCATTCAGTCCCCTGAAGACTGCGCTGGAAAAGAGGGTGGAAAATAGAGGGGAAACATGAGGGTGTGTATGTGGGGGGGCTGAGGGTGACCACCCTGTATGGGGGTTTTGGGTGGAAAAGTTTAGGTTGTCCCACTCTTCATCTTGATGGAGTGGATGCATGTGCAAGCAAGCTTGGAAAATAAGGGGCTGTGGTTTATCTGCTGGGAAAATAAGGGCAAAAACCATAAAATAAGGTAAATGAGGGAAAAAGTAACAACGTGATGAGAGGGGGGGGAAGAATGAAAATAAACAAGGGGTAAAGCGGGGGTGGGAAGAAGTGGCTGGTGGGGAAAGCGAGGGGATCCCACGGAGCGATGGGCTCGGGGAGGCCCCGCTCGCGGAAGTGGCACCGGGGGGACGGCACCGGCACCGGCACCGGCACCGCAACCCTGCGGCCGGCGCGAACCCGGAACCGGCGGCTGCGGGGCGGTGTCGGTCCCGTCCCGGAGCGATCCTTTCCCCGGGGAAAGGACAGCGGGGTCTTACCTGTCGTGCGGCTCTGCCGGAGCCCCCTCAGGCAGCGGGGCCGCGGCCATGGCGCGGCGGGAGGCGGGAGCGGCGGGGGCGGCGCTGCCGCGGGGATCCCCGGGACTTGTAGTGCGGGGCCGGAGGGTGGGGCTCGGGATTCGGGCACCGAGGGGTGCCCTGGGGGGCAGATGGGGCACCGAGGGGTGCTGTGGTCATGGTGAGAGCCGTGCGGGGAGATGGGTGCGTGTGGGCACGGCTGGGTGCCATGGGGCACAAGGGGTGGGTTCCGGGTGCGGGTGGGTGTCTGGAGGTACAGGTGGGGGTTTGGAGGTACAGCTGGGTGTTTGGAGGTACAGGTGGGTGTTTGGAGGTATAGGTGGGTGTTTGGAGGTACAGGTGGGTGTTTGGAGGTACAGGTGGGGGTTTGGAGGTACAGCTGGGTGTTTGGAGGTACAGCTGGGTGTTTGGAGGTATAGGTGGGTGTTTGGAGGTACAGGTGGGTGTTTGGAGGTACAGGTGGGTGTTTGGAGGTACAGCTGGGTGTTTGGAGGTACAGGTGGGTGTTTGGAGGTACAGCTGGGGGTTTGGAAGTACAGGTGGGTGTTTGGAGGTACAGCTGGGGGTTTGGAGGTACAGGTGGGTGTTTTGAGGTACAGCTGGGTGTTTGGAGGTATAGGTGGGTGTTTGGAGGTACAGCTGGGTGTTTGGAGGTATAGGTGGGTGTTTGGAGGTACAGGTGGGTGTTTTGGGTGCTGGCGGGCTCCGAGTGATGTGTGGGTACCTGTGGGCGGCTGCGCATCCCTACCCAAGAGATGCGACACACAGCATCCCCCACCCCCTGCAGCTGGGGGGAAGCGCGGTTTGGGGGACCCGGGCTCCGACAATGTCGCTGGGCACTGCGGAGAGCCGGGGGCACCCCGACCCCGTGCGGGTCCCGGGGCGATGGGTGGGATCGGGCTTTACTCGGCCCCCCGCTCCCAATCCCGGCCGGGCTGCCCTGGGGCTGAGGTTTGGGTACCCCATGTTGGGGGCGTGGGGGGCAAGCTCCGCTGCCGGGGTCCCCACCCCTCCTTGGGGAAAGGCTGCGTTCTCAGCCAGCAGCGAGAGCAGTCTAAATCTGTCCCTGGCTTGGGTTCGGTGCCAAAAAAGCCATTAGGGAGCAGAAGAGGATTTATTCCCATGCTGGGAGAGGCGGGGGGTGGCCTCGGGTCCCGCAGAGCTCCCCGGGGAGGAGAGGTCCTGGGCTGGATGTGGCGGCCAGGACATGCTGGATGCTGCTGCTGGGATGGATGGATTGGAAACAGCTTTAGGGGGATTTCTACCGTGGGAGTGGGGGCAGCTGGGCTTTGGGCTGTGAGCACTGGGGATCCCCCTAGCACCAGGAGTTCGTGCTCCTGCAGCAAGCACCACCAGTTCCCACCTTCCCCATCCGGTTTTGGGGCACCCCTGGGTTGGTGCATCCTCAGCAGCTGGGGGGGTCCTCTCAGCCACTGCCAGGAAGGACAAATCCAAACCCCCCGGATCCCATGTCCAACCCTCCCACCGAACTGCCCAATAACGGTGCCAACAGTGCTAATAAAAAATCAATAACCATTTATTCGATACAGCTGTTTCATACATACAGTACAGGGAGCGCCTCGGCGCTGCTCAGCTGCTCGGAGCTGCTCGGACAGTACTCTCCAACTGAGGATTTGTCAATGATTAACAAAAGAACAGATCATCACAAATTGGGAGTTTATTATAAGATAGTTTACCGTTAAAACAATTTTATTTTTTGCAAATAAACACTTTTTAATATATATATTTATATATTTATATATATGGTTACAAGTGATAAATTGAAAATTTTTTTTCCTTTTTTTTTGTTTTTTTCTGTTTTAATTTTTTCCCCAAAATACACTTATGCACTAATAACTGGCATCGACGAGAAACATTCGGATATGCCGTGGGATGGGTGTCACAAGGAGAGAAAGAAAAGAACAAAATGCTCCCAAAGGTTCCTGGGGGTGGGAGATGCTCCAGGCTCGGGCAGCTCCATCCACCGTGGTCGGAGCTGGTGTGACACAGCCAACCTCACCAGGGCGGGTGTTGGTGCCAAGGGCTCCCCGGTTCCCCACGATCCAAGCTTTCCCCACAGGCTTGCATCCATGCCTGCTCCCATGGAGGTTTAACCCTTTCCTTGGGGACATGGGTGATGGGATGGGGGATTTCCCCAACAGTGGAGGTGCAGGACCACAGTGTCACAGTGCCCAGGATGAAAAAAATCCCCAAATCCCACCCCCCCCCGAACATGGGGTACCCCAAACCTGAAGGGGCACAACCTACTGGCCCCCAGCAGTGCCACTCTGGTGTCACTTGGCCCTGCCTGCTCACCTGTTGTGGCACTGGCAGGTGCTGGTGATCCCAGAACTGCTCTGGAACCTTCCCTGGACAAGCAGGAGAGTGAAGGATGTCTCATGGAGAAGGTGGGGGGGAACATGTTCCTCTCCGAGTGATGACTAGTGGGGAAAACACCTTTTTTTGGGGGGGTGGGGGGGAACCCTGAAGATTTCACTTTCTCATAGAAATTCCCTCCTGACCATGGTGCTGCCCTCACTGGGGCTCTGAGGGTGACAGGGACAGCCCCAGCACCAGGACGACTGCCCCCACTGCCTGCCCTGAGACCCCAGATGGTCCCGAGGGTCCCCTCCCGGCTGGTGTCACTCTGTGAGGCCACTGCAGCTGTCCCCGCTCCTCCTCCTGCTCCTGCCAGGCACTCATTATGGAAGCAGAGGTGGATTTTGATCAGGACCCCATGATGACCCCCTGAGCTGGCCCTTTCCCATGTCTACCCTGCCCTGAGCAGCTCCCAGGGCTCCCTCCCTATGAAACACAGTGCTGCCAGTTAATTTAATCAATGAGAAGCCAATTAATTGCATGTTAATGAGAACAGAGTCCCAGGCCACGTCCAAGGGGAGACAGTGAGGATCGTGTGGTGAACATCCAAGCCAGCAGCCCGGGCTACCCAGA